ACCACCACCACCACCACCACGGCTACTACTACTACCACTACTACTACTACTACTACTACTACTACTACTACTACTGCTGCAGCTGCTGCTACTACTACTACTACTACTACTACTGCTGCTGCTACGACTACTACTACTACTACTACTACCACTGCTGCTGCTGCTGCTACTACTACTACGGCTACTACCAGTACTACTACTACTTGCTACTACTGCTGCTACTTCTACTGCTTCTACTACTACGACTACTACAACTACTACTACTACTACTACTACTACTACTACTACTGCTACTACTATTACTACTACTACTACTGCTGCTGCTACTACTACTACTACTACAACTACCACTACTACTACTGCTACAAGTGACCACCACCGACACCGCCACCACCGGCCACCACTACTTTGGTTGCGGGAATTCGTAAGCTCTTGGTGCTGAATCAGGGTCGGTTGAACTGTGGTGGCTCTCACTGCTGTTCCTGTGGGTGCTGCTTTATGAAGAACCACAATTGATTTCAAGATTGCTTCCCTCCTTGAAACTGGAACTGTCTGTCGTGCGGATATGTTGCCATGCAGCTCCATTGTAGAATTTGCAGGTGCTGGCTTTGTACTGTTTTTCAATGCCTGGGCTCGGTCGAGGGCTTGTTCCTTTTGTCTTAGAAAGGGTGTTTGCGGTTTAGGGTGTGCTAGCCAAGAAAGAGTAGGCAGGGTAGCATGTTACGGTTCAGTTTTCTTTTTCAAAAATGTCCGACATTTTCGCCTTCAGGAGCTCTTCCTCGATGTGCACCGGCCCAGTCTGCGTGGTTGCAGAGCAGATCGAAAGGGTTGATTCAGCGCTCAAAGCGATCTATAACCTAAGCTGGAAGTCCTACACTGGATCGAGAAGAAATCGCTGACAGGGGATTAAGCCCATGCTTCCCCATCTGTTGCGTCCGGGAACAGAACACCCTAAGCCCAGATCCACCACGGCTATGCATCACCCGTACTTCAGCACCCAAGGAGAGGGAATCTGCCTCTTGCTGGCTAGACACTTCATGGTGGGAATACCTGAGACGCCATAACATTACAGCTGCTTTGTTTGGGTGCCTGGATCAAGCTGAAACCAGCAAAAAAGAATGCAACAGCTCTCATTATGCCACAAGCCTCGAAAATGTATGTTCCCATGTCGTCCAGAGTGTTGAACCTACAGAGATAAATGACCCGAGGATTTATGGAAAATGCCTATAACAAGGTTTAAAGTTCATGAATTTCCAATATTCTATTTTGTAGACCGTGTGGTGCCTGTGAGTTCAATGAAATGAAATACGGCATGCATCCACTACGCTCCTGTATCCAGAAGTAGGGTCTTAGTCAAGTAGAAGAAGGAAAGGAAGCTGTCCTTCTCACCGACTCTGGCTTCACTTCGGTGCTGCTCTGTCTATGCTCTGGGCTGAGCCAAACATGTTACGAAGGAGCTCCAGGAAACCCTGGGCCTGAGATTGGCTTTCGTTGGTTCAGGGGCGGCCGGCATCCCCAACGAAGTCGTGAAACTGAACCCGATGCATCTTGTCAGGCTTCCTCGGTTTAAGGCCCTAGAAGGCTGCAGCAGTGCAGCAGCCTTCAGTTTTCGTAGCTGATGAAAACGCCATGCAGAAGCAAAGCATGCCCAAGGCCTGAGGCGTCGCCAAGTTGAGTTTCCCCTTTCCGTGGTTGTAGTATGGCTGGCTGCTGGCTCTGGTGGAACGTGGTTACGCAGTTCATGACTCCTCCGAGGATACCTGACCCCTGGTATTCGATACTTCAAAGGCTTGCAAGTATAGTTGATCTCTGAACCCTGAGTTTTGTTGCTCAGCGCTTAGACATAGAGCAGGGAATCTCGGGCCCGAAGCCTTTTCGTTGGAACTCCATGATATTTCTCGAGCCTTGCTTCTCGCTTTTAAACACGGCGCTCGCAAAAGCGATGCTGGCGGAGGACAGCTGCAGCGGAACGCATTCAATGACAGGGTCTCGGAGCCAGCTTCTTCCGTAATTCAGAGAGAAGTGGGCTTCTGCCGGGGGGACATATTTGACGCTCCTTGTTGCTAAGCCGGAGTTCCACCTGGTGTCAGAATTTCTTGCCCTGTGAGAGATTGATGCCCCGCTGCAGCTTCGCCCCAAAAACTTCCTGATTTTCTCGGTGATTTTCGGTGTTTGAGGCTCTGGCTCAAGATGGGTGCCACAGGACTTCACAGTAGCAACCTCGGCTATGTCTACTCAAGGGGGCCTTTCTCGAGCCACGGTCAAGTGCCCTCAGGTTTGTGCTATAGTACAGAGCGCAGCAGGGGAGGGTTTTGGGGATATTCGTGAGGAGGCGCTCCTTCCGATGATCTTCCGATTGTCATTAGAACCGTTGGATTTAGGCAGGACAGAGGGAGATCCACTTCAAGTCAACAGCTATGCAAGTGACTTAAGATTTGGTTCCAAGTCCTGCACGGGCAGCAGATTGAAAGGGATTTGTACATGATGGCCGCAGTAAATGAATCACAATGCAGTGCTGCCACGGGCATACTAGCAGGTCAGGGACGCTTTGTGATTTTAACGCTACGCCGCCCGCCTCGGCTGCTGAGGGCCAGAAGGCACGGGGTGGAAAATGGACGCAAAAAGCGGGTGGTTCCAATTGTTTGGACTGCAGGGAGGAGGATTAGGTGGAGGGTACTTGAGGTAACCCCCAAGACGCCTGCCCACTGCACTAACGGCTTCTTCCAATGTTACCGGCTGTTACCTGAGCCAAGCTGGTCCCAAGATGTGCTTCTGTTTCTTCATACTCTTC